CATAGGATTTGGGGTGGGGGAGACGTCCTCTGTGTGTGAGTGTGTGCTTAGTGCCAAAGACTGTTCGTCCAAGACATTTGGCAAGATAGGAAAAGAGTGGAGGGAAGAAAGGAAAAAAGTAATAAAAATAATATGAAAGAAAAAAAGGTTAGGGACAAATAAAAGGATAAAACATCTTGATTATATATAAGTCTAATGAAGGGTTTCAAGGAAATATTTGCATTAATAACAGGCAAGATATTTCACATGCATAAATTCTGGTAGACTATATGTTACTCTGATAATGTGCTAACTTTTATGGATTTTACTAGATTTTCCAAGTTAACATTATTTCTCAGGTTACTGAAAATCAAGATAGTAAAAATTATATATGTATAAAGCCTCCAAAGACAAATTTTTTGAACAAAATATTAAATATTATTGTAATGATGATTTAGAAGTTATTCACTCATTGATCTTTTTTCGTTTTTTTTTTTTTTCTGAGATGTCTTTCTCTATATGAAACTGCATCCATGATAGCACTCGTAAGTTCATCACTGCAGGTAATTTGATATCTGCCAATGTTAAGCATTCTTTTCAAAATGCTCCAAAAGTTTTCATTTGGTTTATGGTCAGGCAAACGAGCATTTTTGAAATTTATTTTATTCAGATTTTCATTAGTTTTCTTTACTGAATGTAATGAAGCATTATCATGTATAACAATCTTTCTGAAAGTATTTACTTTTTGAACCATGACTCCACATGTGCCTTCAAACATAAAAATTATCACTGTATGTCTGAGCTATTATCTTACACTTACTATGGAACCACCACTTTACCTATAATCCCACCCTAAGATATCACGCCACCTCCACCTTGTTGGTATCCTGCAGGGATGGTTTCCACCATTCATAGTGAAAAGAACGTTACAAAAACAGTGGACAATAGAATAGATGTATTCTATTGACCATTTAATTAAATTTTCCTTGTGTATATCTTTTAAAAGAGACCGAGTGTCAGATGTTTTGCCACTTAGATTGTTGTAAAAATACTTGTCAAAAAGTAGCTTTAGAGGATGATTTTTTTTTTTTTAATAATTTCTCTCTTTATACAGGAGAGATAATTGATATAATTTTCAACCCCTCCCTTATCAGACCTGCATCAGTCATACAGGATCATAAACAATAATTTTTGAATGGCCTCCCATAATCAAACTAATAGCAGCACATTTTGCCTATAGAAGTATTTACCCCGATGGAAAAGGGGATACAGGTTCAATTCCTATCAGAAGGCAGATTTTTCTTTAGTAGGACTTCTCATTGTAGGCCAGATGTTATTAATTTCACCGTTTAAGAAGAAAATAAAACATGGATAGCAACTCAAACATGTGTAACCACTAAAAATTGTTTATAGTAAGTAATAAGAAATAACATCTCTTTATAAAAAGTATTTTGTAGTCTACATTATAACTGAGATAGTTGTTTTCTACTAGTTTACCAAAAAAAAAAAAAAACTGAATCTTATTCAGTCCTTACTATTAAGTTTTTTACATGTGAGTTTTGGAATTTCTTTTCCAATTATTGTTATCCTCTACTCTTTCACGGTTGGCATTTTCATCTACTGGTTTCATAGACATCTTGGAACAGTTTTTCATAGTCATAGCAAAGGCACTACCACCCATCATGGCCAGTGCAAGGGGAGATAACAATAAAGATGTAAAAAAATAAAATGGTGACTGAAAACCTACAGATATATACTCGACTCTCTTATCGAATTCGACAGATGAGGGTCAAGCAGATCAGTTCCTAGGAAACTGACAGCCCGACAACAGCACGAGATTTGATTATAGTGGTGAAGGTTTTGTGCAGGACCATCCACACTTTTTGAAGGGCCGAATACAGAGACCTGGTGCACTACGTGCCACAAGGTACTCAAACGACCCTCCACAGGTTTTGAATTCAGAGTTGTCCTTCTCCTAGACCAGTTGCCATCCAAGGCTATAGAACCCAGTCTGTCCTGCTATTTACCCATAGATGGAGGGAGAAGAGGATTCACACCTTTCCCAAGGGTATTAGCACGTAAGTGAATGTAATGGATTCGACTGGAATTTGAACTCGGCTCTGCAATTCCTCAATCCAAGCTGCTATCTATTACTCCACTGTATATTATATTATATCATATTATATTATTATATTATTGTTGACAAAAGTCATTATTGAAACTTCATGAGTTGGATATCAGTGAAATATTTTTAGTTTTTCCATTTTCTTTTTTTTATTGATAACAAAGCTTAGTAAAGCAGTATTCAAACTGAAAAAGCAGATTTTGGGAGTCCTTTACTTAAGACTGGTGTAATACAATCTTCCTATCCCTATTTAGCTATGTTTCATGCACAGCTTGGTAAATATCAATAACAAATTGTTAAAGCTGGTAAATAATCTGAATTATTTTACTGATTTTCATCTTGTTAGGTCATTTAGAGTCTTCGGTTAAGCATTAGGTAAGCATCCTGGTAAATATTGTTATTTAATAAACTTAGCTTAGATATGGAGTACCTAATGAGTGACTGAACTCTATTTTCAATAGAAAATACTTCAAAAACCAAGTTAATATTGCTACATCATCACTGATCAGACCCAGAGTTTTCTCCGGTTGTGATGAATAGTTGCACCATTATTACTTTGAACATCTATTAAGTTTCAAATTTAATAAGAGGAGCAACTTTTTTTTTTCTTTTTTATATAGACTACAGTAAACCGCTTAAGTTATTACTAGTTAAAATCTTTAAGTATTTTTGCACTTTATTATACTTATTACTGAATTTTAGCACAGACTCCAGATAATTTACTTGAAGTATAATATTAGTTTTCAGAATATTTATGATAGCCATTGCTGATGCTTGAGACTTGAGATTGTTATTAGCAAGAGAATTTGTGAGTTGTAGTTGTTCAGTTTTTAATTTGAGCTTTCCTTGTCTCTTCTTTTTTCTCTATCAAAAATTGTTTTGATTCCTTTCCTCTCTTACTTGTATTTTTTTTTTTTTTTTTTTTAACCTTTCAGTGTAGTGAAAGTTATATTTTAGATGAGGATTTATGGTTTCTTACATCTTCTGTTACTGTTTTGTTAATTAGACATTTATTTAAAATATATATTTTCAAAATTCAGGTTGTACTAAATCAAGATTCATCCTCAACAAAACCATCAAGATTTCTTTAGTAGCAAAATGTGGCAGAGAAACTATTCTCATAAATAAATCAGCTAGCACTCATTTTTCAACATAATTATATTAATGATTAGCTGTTTATATAAAAAAAAAAAAATTTTTTTTTTTTTTTAAATACATAAAAATTTAACTTTTAATGATTACATCTATAGTGACTGCAAATTTTGGTGGTAAGGAAAAAATGGATTAATAACAGTTGTATCTAAGTGTGGACTACATTTGAATCTGGTATACATGTGGAAGATTTTAGTTTTTCTTCCTGACTTTGCCATTATTCCAGCATACCTTTTAATTGAACTTATTTTCTTCATTAATAAATTCAAATAGTTTCTAACAGTAGACTTGAGATTGATTCTGGTATTTTTACTTTTGTGTTGTTTGATTTTCATTTGTTAATCATGTTTTAAATGCATTTGATGTTTTAAATCAATGTTAGTATAATTTGTGGCCTTCTGAATTTAAGGAGACAAGTTGTCCATCCGAAGTTTCAAGAAATTAACTAATGAAAATCAAACACAAAAGTAAAAATATCAGATTCTTTCTTTTTCTCCATATTTCATTCTATGATGAAGCTTTAATAAAAGTGAAACCTGTTTGATTGATATACATTTCCTATTTGTTCTTTATCATATCATAGGTTTCTTGCCTTTTACCTTCTCCACATCTTTTTACTTCCTTTTCCTCTCCTTAGCTATTTGTTTCCATTGGGAAAAGCAAAGTTATTGATGGCTATTGTGTATGTCACTTTTCATAGAACTGCCTGATTGTAGGCAGAAGTGCTGAATTGTCAGTTTTAATGGGTACTATGCTATTTTGTTTAAATTTAAGGCTAATCTGTTCTGTTCACTTTCCTTAAATGTCCTGGGAAAGGTGCAAGTCTATCTCTTCTACTCCCATATATGGGTCAAATAGCTGGATAGATTGGGCTCTCTGGACTAAGAAAAAAAAAACTGAATTCCAAACTACAAAAAAGGCAATGGGAAAACCACTTCACTATCTATCTATGAGCCAATAATAATAATTCAGATATTTAAAAAAGAAAAAATCTGTAGAGTTATGATTGCGTCCCTGTTGAGGGGACATGACATAAAAAAATGCTAGTATAATTTTATAATTTGTTCAATATCTGATGACAAGATGATTAAAATTCAATTCTAAATGACTTGTCTATATAAAATACATTTATTAGAAAATCTATCCAGTTTAAATACAAAAAGGGTCTTTCTTAATAAACAACTTGAAAGGTGTTGGTGCCAGACAAAAGGAATTTAGTACTTAGCATGAGTGATTTACGTGTGCTACTACTATTTAATTTGCACACACAATTTGACTGACATTCTCCTGCCATTTAATCTGGAAATCTATTCTGAGCTGGGCAATAAAATCAAAGTTGGAGACAAGAAAAAAATGTTAACTTCTAAAACCTTAAAAAAAAAACAAAAAAAAACATGATTTTATTGAATTTTTCAGAAATTATTTGGTAAAAATAGAATTTTTTTTTTTTTATTATTATTATTAAGAAATATTTTTAGGTTTGTCATTGGATTAAAATATACATGTGAACACACAATTGAAATGGACATCTGTGCCATGAGGGCTAGCCTCAAGGTGAGAAGAAGAGTATAAACTGAAATGTGCAGTCCTTGGAAATCATAAGAATAACTCCTTTTATTTAAACTGAATATATTTTCACCATCAGTGAAACAATGGGGTACTGTACCAAAATAGTAGTTTTTTTTTTTTTTTTTTTTTTTTTTTGTGACTCATTTGTTAATAGTAATTTCTTTCTCTGTTGCAGCCAAAAGCCAAAAGGAAGGATGTGTGATCAGCATTGATAAACAGTTCATGGTGCCTGTGAAAGGGGCAATTACTTTGGCTACTATGGACTTCACAAAAGGACAAACCCAAAACAAAGTCCTGGAAGTGCTGAGTGGACGTAAAGCTGACATCATTCTCAGTGACATGGCCCCTAACACAACAGGCATACGTTCGATGGACCATGACCTCATAATAGAGCTATGCTTTTCCGTTCTAGAATTCTCGCGTACCGTTCTGCGCCCAGATGGTGCTCTTCTGTGCAAACTTTGGCAGGGTCATGAACAGAAGGAGCTAGAGCAACGCTTGGGTGATGTATTTCAGACTGTAAAAATTATCAAGCCTCAAGCTAGCCGGGGCGACTCTGCTGAGATATTTCTGCTTGGAAAGGGCTACACGCCTAATAAATCCCATATTCAGTAATATATAAGATAAAAAAAAAAAAAAAAAAAAATCAGAACTTTTTTTCTTAAATAAGAAAAATTTTAAATGAAAAAGATTTAAAAGAAAAAAAAAAGAGAGAAGTAAAGAAAGAAAATATAAGCAACTTATAAAAGCAGAACTAGAATAAATAATGAAGATCGGGGTGAAGAACTTACTAAATAATAAATAAAGTGCAGAAGAGTCCAGCCCACCTCATTGTTATGTGATTAAGTGCGTTTGCTACTGCTGTTATTGCCTTCTACTCTTTACTGCTACCGCTACTGTCGTCAATCAGCTGAATGCTTTGATTGAAATAAAGGGAGATAATATCAAGTGACCTTGTATATTTTTGATCTGTTACCGATTTTCAAAAAAAGAATGTTGTTTTTTTTTTTTTTTGTTGCATTATTTAAGTTGCATCTAGGCCATTACAAAGCATTGCATCTTATTCTATAATTCATTTTTTAAAGATTTCACATTCGTTTTATATTGCTAAGGAAATGAAGTTATTTAGATTTATATATAATTTTTAATATTTATTATTAGGTCTTATTTAAAGAAAAAAAATATTTTATTTATACTTAAATTAATATTTCCATTTAAATGAAGTATTAAATTTGTATATTCATTAAAATGTTTTTGTGAGTAGCATAAATTAAGATTCCCTGAAAATCTTTGGTATATTAATTTTTAATATATTGACATAGGATTTATAATTTGTTGCTTGAAGTAATTATTTTGTTTAAGATTTAATAAATTTAATTTTTCCTTTTAATAAGTCATTGAAGTTTTTTTTAAAAATTACTATGGGAATCCATGGAAGTATATTTATATCAATTAAAAATCAAATAAAATCCTTTCACAGATCATCTTATGCATTTTAACTATATTGAATGTCCCATGATAGTGTCACTCTGTAAAAAATCATTTTGAAGAAAGTCACATGTAAACTGACCTATATTTTAGAACCTTTAGAAACCCTAACTTTCTTTCACTACCTATCACTGAGGACTATCTCCCTCAGCCATTTTACATTAGGTTAGTTATATAAACAGGACAATTTTCATGTAACCTTGATTATAAAACTAAAATGTCACTTTCATCAAGGATATTTAAGATTATTGAACCAGTTTCTTGAAAAATCATTCAAATACATACAATAATTTGAGACAACAAAGGTGAATTTAAGAATTTTAGAAATAGTTTTTAAATGTGATTAAAAAAAAAATGTTTGCAAATTCTAATAATAGCTTTATTTCTGTTATCAGCTTTATCAATAAAATTTTTTCATTATATTCAAGTTGTTTACATAAGTATATTAATCAGGCTTTCCTTTGTGTGTTCCACGATGTTTGTGTTACATTATTCTGAAAATAAAAATTGCATTGCATAAATCAATTACCCACTCCTCAACAATAATGTGACTTAATATCATTGAAAACTTTTCTTGATAAATATACTACTTTGATTGGTTAGATAATATCCTTTCATCATCTATTTGAGTTGTGATGTATTATTATTATTAGAAGCATTATATTATATATATATATATATATATATATATATATATATATATATATAAACTAATAATTTAACCTATTTTTAGGTCAGAACTTCTGTCAAAAAATGCTTAATACATAACTAGAATCAAGTTCTGTGAACTTACCTTGATTGACTACAGAATTTCATATCAAAATGCTTGTCTGACAAATGTTAGATAAATATATTGAAATTGTTTTCAAATCTTAAAATACCTTTTATGAGATATTTAAGATAACCAAATAGTAGCTTATATATTGTTTCTAGTGAAAAACTGGTTTTCAAATGTTTATTCAGTGCATATTTTTAAGAGTTTTGTAAACTTTTGCACAGACTTAATAGAAGCTGTGTATGTATAATATATATAAATAAAACAATAGCCGCAGTTATTCTTTTTTCCATAACATCTTGGGTTGATATACTCTTTGCCTTAAACTGCAGTCAATGAAAGACCAGCTGCCAAGGTGTAGGATGCGAGTTCCAGTTTCATTGTAAACTTTATTTCACATTTCATACCATTTTCTTTAATCCTCAAAGAGGTATTAAAACATTCACAAATTAAATGAATAATAAAATAATAAAGTATTCACTCTGAATATGATAAAAAGTAACAATAAGATTAATTAAAACTAGTAATAAAGTAATACTAATGTTTAATTTTCTTAAAAACTCCCACAAAAAATATTCTTATAGAAAAAAAAAAAAAATTTATACTTTAGCTTAACCATGAAAAAAGTTAACGTTGTCTATAGCTAAATACTGGTTGTAGTATTGCATATTTCAACTTTAAGATTTCTTTTCAGCTGTGTTTATTATTGAATCAAATTTCTCCATTAAAAATAATAGTTAAGTAAATTGTGATATTAAACTCTGCATATTTTGTACAGGTTTATTATAGTAAGACTTGTATATTTAGATCTTTTGGTTTTTTAGAATAACAGAAATGTCCTATCTAACAGATAAAAAAAACTCAATTTGGATTATAAACTAACTTTTGATAATTTAAAAAAAAATTATTTGTAAAAATGTACAAACCTGTCTAGATAAACATGATGCATTTAAAGTAGTTAATGAAAATGGAGTTCCAATTCTAGCCTCCTCTGCTGCATTCAATTTTGCACAACTACCCTTGGAAGAAGCAGCATAAATCCACCTCCTCTCTGCAGCTATAGATGAAAATGCAGAGCACACTGCATTCTCTAGTTTTAGGTAGCAACTTATATAGGACTACTATTAATTCAAAATGTTATATGGGAAACCACTCTACTATCTTTTCAAAGATGTCATAGCAGTATGTAGATAAGAAAAGGAATCTGGAGTGCCATGACAGCCTATATTCTCAAATGACACTGCCAATATGAAAAAACAAAGAAAAAAAAGGTATCATCTTGAATATGACACTAAAAAAATAGTAATATAGAGCTTAAAGTTCTTGGATAAATGAATCATTGAATGAATTATTGGAGCTAGTATTCCCACTATTTTCTTGGTATAATTAGTGTGTTTTGTTTTTTTTTTTGTCATTTCGCCCCAAGTAAGGTAATAAAGCCACTAAGACACAAGAGATTACTGAATGAGAGATAAGGAGAAAAAAACCCACTAAAGACAGGGGACACCATAAGCAAGAATTGTGAGAGAAGAAACCACACTTATGGTTACTGTAAAACTAGGCCCTTCCATCAATCTAGTACTGCATTTAAATTCATAAAGTCTAGGTACCACTTCATCAGAGCAATTAAAGTGATAGTATTTACAGAAAAGGCACAAGGGAGCTGTTATTGTGGTGGGAAAGTGAATGAAGCTTAAAAAATAGAGCAAAATTAATGAAATTAAATTATTATTGAATTACCAATAAACAATTATTCTGTAAAATAAGATATTAATAAATATAGATTGTTTTAAAAAAAAAATTGCTCAGTGTAGCATTACTGTATATTCTTAGTCATTCAGTAAAAGAGGAAAATGTTTGGGAGCAAAAGTCAGAATTACTGTTTATATATATATATATATATAAAAAATGTGCGTGTTTTTATTTTAATATTGCCATTAATAATGGGATTGAGACACACAAGCCAAATAAACATTGTCAGTTCCTCTGGCATTTGAAGAAGTTTGCTGCTTTATTTACTTACAGCCTCAGTGATGCTGTATTTACTCATCAGCTGAAACTAGTGAAGGCTGCAAAGAAAACAATGCTAATCTAAATAAATGCCTCAAAAGACTATTTTCTTTAAAAAAAAAAACAAAAAAAAAACAAGTCAGCAATTTGGGATTAAAATTAAGTTTTTATTTTTGTTCTTTAAATTGAATTAGGACTAAAAAGAAACTCCCTTCTTCAATGCAATAAACATAACAGTTTTAAGGTTTTGATTTTTCTTAACATTTAATAAAAAAGACAAACAATTTTTAATATATAAGAAACATTGTAAAATTGATCAATATAGAAATTAGATATGTTTGGTCTCATTAAAAAAAAAATATATCCTTGTCAGAACTTATACATTAAAATATGTTCCTTAAAAGAAAGGCAACAAGTGAAATTTGTTTAAATGTTGAAAAATATGCAGTTTATTTTACTTTTTATAAGTTACATAAAAAGTACTTAGATATCTTAATTATTTATCATCAATTTGATTGACTTAGACCATTTTTACAATTGTTTTTGATAGTTTCTATAAGATTTGCTACTATCACAAAAGAATTTAGGCATTAAAAATCCTTCACAAATTTATTATAACAAAAACAAAAGTTTTTTAAAAATTTTCTTTTTGAATTCCTTTCAGGAATAACTTACTTTCAAATTACCCATATATTAGAAAATTATGAACAAATTGTAAATAAATTGATGATATTTCAGCTTAAACTTTGTGCATTACAAATTTATATTTTAAATTGAAAATAATTTTTTCCCTTTAGGATATATAGATAAAATAATACAGATAATTATAATTACCATATTAGAAATATTTTTTTAATCATTCACAAAGAAATGTGTGCATAAAATATACATACATACATATATACACACACCTTAAAGCAACTATTTCATGGTGGTCTAAATTATAGTATTTGTGAATAAACCCGAACTTGGTAAAGTGACATTGATTTTAATATATATATATTCCCTCAGTATCAGGTATTGACAAAGTAGTGTCTTCCATTACATAAACAAGAATCTGTTTTCACAGTTTTTGGAAGAAGACTTCAGAACTGTGGGAATAAATAAATATGTTTTTTTGTGTGTGTTTTTATTTTAATATTGCTATTAATAACTGAATTGAAACACAAGCCAAATAAAAATTGTCAAAAGTAGTTCTGTCTTTAAAGTTGGCCTTTTGTTACTCCTTGATTATTCAAGACACTTAATGCATCTTTAAAGATTTCTATAGCTTAGAAATAACTATGCACAGTCATTTTTTTTTCTTTAAACTTACAGAAATATTAAAATAGCCAGGAACATG